CAGGGCTGGCACCATCATTCTGTGAGCTACTGCAGGGGTTTTTATTTTGGAAAGAAAGGAAAGCTGTTCGATATGGAATATTAGTCGAGGATCTTCCTGTGATACTCTTCGGGAACAAATCTTTCCCACTCTGGCCCCAGGGGTAGGCACATGACCAAAGCTGGGCCGGCTACAGTACCCCATGCTTCCTTGATCACAGGGACTGACCTAAGGAATGGTAATGAGGTAATGTAAATCATTGAGCCTGCCTCTAGGATTTTCCAAACTGAAGCTGGAAGAACCTGCTTTCCCTGCTGGTTATGGAGTAGTTGGGATATGTGCTCAGAGCTGCCCATTGCCATGTCCCCGCCATGTGAAGAAGCCATTCTACTTGAGGTCTCTAACTGCCCCCACCAAAAGAAGAAAAAAAGAATAGAGGTGAGAGGTTTGGGGTTGTAGCGATGGCATCCAAATTCTTGTTCTTGTTCAAGCCTGGCTCCACCCTGATCCTTCTCAGGTTGATTACATGTGCCAACCAGCTTCTCCCTTGGGTTAAGCTAGTTGAAAATAAGTTTTGTCACTTGCAACAAAATTTATCCTATTTATTTAGCCCCAGCTCCATATAGCTAAGTGCCTACCACATATCTCCCTCTGGATGTTCTTTGGTACTCCCAACTCATATCTGTAGTACAATGCATTTTTCCTCCCTTCTTAACTCTACCCACCCAATTCCTGTATTTTCTCATCCTGGTTATCAGGTCAGCATCTACCCTGCTGCCCAAGCCAGAACTCTATAGCTCTACTAGGCTTCCCCTTTCTAACTGATCCCCACCCCTCAAGATCCAATAGATTTCTAAGTGCTATTCTTTTTCTTAAATATTTCTCATATCTGTTACTGTCTTTTACTGCCTTTGAGATCCCGTCTGCTGCTTCCTTTTTCCTTCCCCCACTATACTGACAGGTCAAATCTAAGAATGCTTACCCCACACACTGCCTCTGTTGAATGGGGTCCCCTACTAATAAACTTTCCTGTGACCCTTCTGGTTCCAAATTATTAATTACAACAATCAGGTCCTCTTCTATGAGGATATCTGAATCTGAGACACATAGATGGCTATGCAGTTGTGGCAAAACAGAAGCTGAAGCTGTACAGAGAAGGCAGAGGTGATGACGAGGAGAATGTAGACACTCTTGAGTAAACAGAAAATGGGTAAGCAGAAGCTACGAGTAATCCAAACCTACTGGGTATATCAAACGGAAGGCAAAGTAATTGGTTGGAGTGAGAAACAAAGAGAGGAATGAAATTACCAAAATGGTTGGGGACAATCTCTTGCTGTTGAGGAGGCAACAAAGTAATACTAGTACTGCCTTGGATCTTGATTTGATTTCTAATTCCTAAATTACATGTATACTCCAGCCCGTGTGAAGCATGCTTGGGTGTCAATACATTGGTTCCTGTGAGATCACTGTGTTCCCGAGATTCTTATTCTTACGATGTCAACTCACAAACACTATATAGCCTAGTCATATAAACTGGTTTCCCAACCATGTGATGCTCTGCATGTCTCTGTTTATGTGCATACATTATTCCAAGTGGAATAATTCTCATTTCCCAAATACCTTTCAGACGGCTACCACTTACTCATCTTTTAAGACTGAGCTCAGGCTCCTCTAAGAAGCTTTCCACAACCCAACCCGGTTAGATACCCTTCCTTTGCTCCAAATTTCATGGTGTTGCATATTGTAATTTTATGTCTCCACAACTAGAATATGAGCTTCTTTTGAGAGCAGAGCTGCTGTTTTGTTCTTCAGGGCTTGAACCCGTACCCAGTACATAGTAGATACTTAAATGAATGCCATTGTTTTTGTTAAAGTTTCGTTGCCTAGACACTTTCAATAATCAATAAGTTCAATAGCCTTCCATTATCACCCCTCTTCCAATAGATCTATTTGCAGCTTGAAGTGTGCCATGGTTCTTTTAAAACACAATGATATGGAATCATGACTTCATGCATGAGACTACTTCAGTTCAGAATGCCCTTCTAGCCCCTGTCCCTAACTCCCTCCAAGAATGTAAACAGGAAGACCAGAGCTAAGGGCCATGGCAGTTGTCCAGGCAAGAGAGGGTGAGGGCCTAGACTAAGTAGTACTGGTGAAGTACGAGGTAGTGATCAATTCTAGAGGTGGAAAAGTCAATAAGTACTTGAAGAACTAGATTTGAGATGAGGGAGGGGAGTATATCAAAAATTACTGGGAAAAAAAGAAGCTGAACCACCTTCTTACACTGTATACAAGAACAGACTCAAAATGGATTAAAGACTTAAATGCAACACTTGAAACCATAAAACTTCTAGAAGAAAACATAGGTAGTAAACTCTCTGATATTATTAACAGAAATTTCTTTTCAGATATATCTCCTTAGGCAAGGGAAACAAAAGAAAAAATAAACAAATGGGACTACATCAAACTGAAAAGTTTTTGTACAGCAGAGGAAATCATCAACAAAACAAAAAAGACAACTGACTGGGAGAAGATATTTGCTAATGAGACATCTGATAAGGGGTTAATATCCAAAATATATAAACTTATATAACTCAACAACAAAAAAACAAACAATCCAATTAAAAATGAGCAGAAGACCTGAACAGATATGTCTCCAAAGAGGAAATACAGATGGCTAATAAGACATATGAAAAGATGCTCAAGGTCGCTAACCATCAGAGAAATGCAAATTAAAACCACAATACCACCACACCTGTAAGAATGGCTGTCATCCATAAATCAAAAAACAACAAGTGTTGGCAAGGATGCAGAGAAAACGGAACCCGCATACACTGTTGGTGGGATTGCAAACTGGTATAGCCGCTATGGGAAACAGCATGGTTTCTCAAAAAATTAAAAAAAAATGGATATACCTTTTGACCCACTTCTGTGTATTTATCCAAAGAAAACCAAAATAATTCATAAAGATCGATGCACTCCAATGTTCATGGCCGCACAATTTACAATAGCCAAGATATGGAAGCAACCTAAATGCCCATCAATAGACACTTGGATAAAGAAGTTATGGTTTATACATACAATGGAATATTACTCGACCATTAAAAAATTGAAATCCTACCATTTGCAATGACATGGATGGACCTAGAGGCTATTATTGCTGAGTGAAATAAGTCAGAGAAAGATAAATACCATATAATTTCACTTATATGCAGAATATGAGAAACAAAAAGAACCAACCAACCAAAAACAGACTCACAAACATAGTGGGCAATTTGGTGACGGACAGAGGGGAAGGGGGTTGGGGGACTGGAAAAATGGGGTGAAGGGTTAAAGAAGTACAAGTTAGTAGTTGATAGCTGGTCATGGGGATGGGGAGCACGGCAGAGGGAATAGTTAGCATTAATATGATGGCTAGGTGGAGGGCCAGGGGAGGGAGAGAGCAATTGGGGGGTAGTTTTATGAACTATATAGAGATCTAACCAATGTACTGTATATTTGAAACTAACTTAAATAAATAAATTAAAGAAAATGACTACTGGGTTTTCTGGTTTGATCAACTGAATGATATTTTACTCAGAGATAGGGAAAAATAGAAAAGCAAGTTAAGAGGTGGCTAAACATTCACATATTCATATAATCAGATTTCTTCTGGTCTAAATTTTGCTGATGTGCTATACTTAGGAAACGGAAGTACTGATTTTTCCTTTTTGGGTGATGGTGTTGGGGAGGATAGTTATTATTTTTTAATTTACAATTTTAACCATTCTTAAGGGTACTATTTAGTGGCATTAAGTGGATTCGCATTGTTATATCTAGAATTATGACCATCTATCTCTAGAACTTTATATTCGCAAAATGAAATTCTTTACCCACAAAACAATAACACCCCATTTCTGGCATTCGCCATTCTACTTTCTGTCTTTATGAATTTGACTATGTTAAGTACCTCGTTATAAGTGAAATTATGTAGTATTTGTCCTTTTGTGACTGGCTTACAACACTTAGTATAATGTCTTCAAGTTTCATCCATATTGTAGCATGTGTCAGAGTCTCCTTCCTTTTTAAGGCTGAATAATATTCCATTGTATGTATATACAATGTTTTATTTATCTATTCATCCTTCAGTGGACACTTGGGTTGCTTCTACCTTTTGGACATAGTGAATAATGCCGCAAGGAACCTGGGTGTACAGTATCTGTTAAAATCCCTGCTTTCCATTCTTTTGGGTAGGTACCCAGAAGTGGAATTGCTGGGTCGTATGGTAATTCTCTGTGTAATATTTTGAGGAAACACTATACTGTTTCCCATAGAAGTTGCACCATATTACATTCCCACCAGAAATGCGCAAGGGTTCCACTTCCTCTGTACCTTCCTCAACGCGTTATTTTCTGTTGTTGTTTTCTTTTAATAAGAGCCATCCTAATGGGTATGAAGTGGTATCTCATTGTGGTTTTAATTTCTATTTCCCTAATGATTAATAATGTGCTTTATGTGCTTACCGACCATTTGTATATCTTCTCTGGAGAAATGTCTAGTCAAGTCTTTTGACCATTTTTGAAAAATTAAAAAAAATTTTTTGTTGTTGTTCAGTTCACAGTTATTTTATAATATGGGATGCTTGCAGGAACAAAATAGATCTCCAAGGCACAAGAAAATGTTTAGAATAGTATGAAAATGCCAGGGATCTTGGAAAAAAGGGCAGGAAGAGGGAAGGATATCAAAGAAAGTTAAAAAAAATTAAGTCTTACCATGAGGGAAGAGTAAAGAAAATATACTCAGGATTCTGAGCTCATTTTACTGTTGTAGTCTGGCAACCTTATGGGTTAAATAAGCATTGGTGGGCTACCCTGAGAACCTAACTTATATAAAAGTATTTAAGAACAATACTTATATATAAAAAAAAATGCCCTGTCTTATAATCCACTAATTTAAAAAACTTCTGGTATATAATTTATACATATGCTCATGACTATTTATATACTAAAACCTAAACTCTGATGAAAGTAAGTTAGCTGTACTCATGGATTACAAAAATATTTATTATATAATGCCTTTAACTAGGAATTTCATATTTTTCAATTACCAAAAGTTGATGTGCATGAATCATTTGTGGGATACCACTGTAAGAAAATCTATGTGACACAGAGCTATAGAACTAATACGTAATCATGATATAACTGATAGAAACATGAAAATGAAGACATAATCTGTAGACAAGGATTGCAGAAAGGGAAGGATTACACAGAAATCTGTGCTGTTAACTGAAGCATCTAGAGAAAATAGTATCATTACTATTATTACTGGAAGTAGATAACTGGATACATATCCAGTTTAAAATACATAAAGTTTATTATTTTTAAAGTAACCATTTTACTTAATTGATTCAAAGTGGATAAATTGTTAGATCCTGAATTTTTGGTAAAATGGTGTAAATTGTAGGTTAATTATATTATAGATATAAAATGTAATATATACTTTAGAATAAATATGACATTATTTTAAAGTATATCTAGGGTTATTTTCAATGTTCTACACACAATCTATAGTCTCTGTAAATAATTAATAGTTAAGGAAATATACTCTTCTTTAAAAACAAAACAAAGCTTTCATTAATCTGAAACTAAAGATTAGCCTTCCATTTCTTGATAGGATCCGTGCTGCTATCTGAGGAAAGAAAATTAGACAGTTTAAGTTTAACAACAGATAAGTAAACTCACTGGATTTTATGTTACCTTTCATTCCTAAAATAACTTTGTTGCTCAATATAAAATTGGTATTTTTTTATACATTTAAAAACACTGCTGAAGCTTCTACACAAAATTCAAGCTTTGAACCTGTTGATTTTAAGGATTAAACTTCTATAGAGATTCTTAATTTGACAAATGATTCTAATATTAGTAAACAATTGTAGAATTACTGCTTTAATATCTGTGCGTTTACCACCTTTACTATTGCTAAAACCTTTTGCTGTTCCCAAATTTTTAAAAATTCTTTATAGTCTTGTGGTCTGGGAGGAAGAAGCTATTTTCCCACCACATGCCTTTGACTGTCACTCTGGTGGGTGAGGAGTGGAAATCCGAAGCAAGATTCTAATTCTTGTAGGAGTTTTTCATTCCCACTTGTGGTCTACTGGCCTTTCGCCACTGTCTCTCCATCTCACAGGGATATTCAAAGGAGAACTCTAGTGGGTATTATTCTTCCTAACAGGAAACTAGTTCGTTTATTAAAAAAACAAAAACAAAAACAACTAATCCCCTAACCCTCCAAATTTTATATGCTGGTAATAAAATAATTAAAATTTAGAGGTATACTTACATATTTTTCCTTCTTTTTCCAATTTTTTCAAATGAAGCAAGAGATTTTGTTTAGCCTTTTCATGTAAAACCTCAGGAGTATTCTAAAAGAAAAACAAGAGTGAAAGAAAACATTTTTTAAAAAAATTTATTATTCAATTAGAGTTGACATTCAATATTACTTTATATTGGTTTCAGGTGTACACAGTGGTGGTTAGACATTTATATAATTTACGAAGTGATCCCCCTTATTAGTCTTGTACCCACCTGGCACTATACATAGTTATTACAATATTATTGACTATATTCCCTATAAACATTTCTTTTTTAAAAAATAAGAGTTAATCCTTTTGAAACCTTAAAAGAAAAAATGCGACAAAAGGAGAAAATTTTAACTTCATTTTTATATAATAGCCAAAATGACTTCACCTTATACATGTTTTGCTTTAGACACTATATTCTTATATATATATTCTTATAGATAAAATAGACTATAAGCTCCATGAAGATAGAAGCAGTATGTTTTGTTCACTACTGAATACTCAGTGCTTAGCATAATGATGGGAACTCAATATTTTATGAAAGGATGAATAAATAAATGTAAAAATTATTCTAGATAGTTTTGATGACGCTACAGACATTGGCTCTATGGTTTATTTATTAGGCTACATGATAATATTTTTGCACATTTCCCTTGGTTATTCTACTTCTTTTATCATTTAATTTCATCCTGGATACTCTTCCTTGGACTTCTCTTAAATGTCAATGTTTACAATGAGTTGTATTATTGATTCTCTTCTCTTTCTTCTCATCCAACTTGCCCAGTGATATCACACATTAACAGCTCCCAAATATCAACCTCCAACCCCAAATTCTCCCTTAAGCTCCAGTACCATATACTATGTCCACCGGTGTGACCTTGTAGATCTCACTGTGATTCCCCTGCCTAAGATCCTTGAGCAGCTGGTTATCCTCAAGTTCTTGGCTAAAGCCCAAACCGTGAGCAGAGCAGTCGAGCCTTCCCATGAGCTGACTGTGCCTGCCTTCCCTGGCTCCTTTCCTGGGGCTCCCTTCCTCCCAATCCACATGTGCATCCTGTGCTCCTGTCATATGCAGTTTCTTTGTGGGGTTTCAAACACACACGATGCTCTTTTACTACCCACTGGGTTTGAACACATTTTTCCTCCTGTTCAGAATGGCTTCCTTTCTCTTATATTCTCTCCTGCAAAGTACTTACTCCTTTTTCAAGATCCAGTTAAATGATGAAGTTTCTGAAGCTTTTCCAGACAAGTCTCATTATGCTTCATTTTCATCAAGGCCCTGACATACTGTATCTAGGCTTTGGAGGAAGCCTGGTGTGCTAGAAACAACAAGACTTGAGTATCTGACATTTGAGTAAGTGACATCTGCTAGTTGTATGCCCTTGAAAAAGTTACTTAGCTCACTATCTGAGACAGTTTTTTAATCTATTAAATTGGAATAATAGTATCTTTATACAGTCAAAATTTGAGGCATTTGAATTAAGTACCTCGAATTACATCTGTAAATACAAGGAATTTAGTACAATGTCTAGCACATAAAAATGTGCTTAAAAATGGAAGCTTTTATGATAGAGTTAGTATTATAAGTATCTATCTGCTGAACATGAACTAAGTCCTTGAGGGCAGGGGACTGCAGTCATCTTTGTATCGCTGTGCCAGTCCACGGGGGCACATGAAGGCAGTCAGTAAGAGTTTATTGAATGAATCAATCCCTCTCTAATACTTAATATCATTCTATATGCAACAGATAATTCACGCAGTATATATATGTAGGTAGGTATACACCTGAATGCAAAACCAGTATTTTTTTAAGCATGGGCAAGTGTTTGATGATGACTCATGTGTGAGGGTTATCAGAATTCTGTCTGCACTTAGGATAGGAAAAAAACTCCAATGGACTAATGAGCTGGAGTATGGTCTAGTGGCTATATTGCAGTATTATGAGCACTTGAACTCTCATAGACTTTAAATATTTACATTACTCCTTTGCCAGTGGCACTTTATATCTTTAGCCATTTAACCATTCATCCCTCCTTTGAAAGCATGCTGAGTATGATGACTGTTTTTGATAGCTTAGGCCTACGGGACACTAAAGTCCTCTACTAATTTTACCTGGCGCCAGGTACTTTTTCAAGCTCATCTCTTGTTACACTCTCACATATCTACTGCTGGACAGGCTGTGGTCGTGGGAGTTTTCAAGCCCAGGTCATCTTATACCAAAGCCTACATTCTTAAATTCTAAGCCATACTGCCTACACAGTAGATATCTAATGAACATTTGCTGAAAAACTGAATTATACTAATCGATCGCCACATAGTGCTGTCATATAGTGACATGCTCAGAGGCCACTGAGGTGAGGGGTCCGTCTCTACACTAAATTTCTCTACTAAGGGTCTTTTACATGTACTTTCTCCATTGTTAGGCTTCACTGCTACTTCTTACTGCTTTTATCCCAATATCTGTCTCTAGCAGACTGCCCCTTCTTACTTGCTATACGTCAGAACACCAGATAATCAAGATGGCTAGAATAATATATCAGTCATTACAAAACTTCATCATCCTACAGTCTCTTATATACAGAATGAGGTATATAAGGTTTAATGAAGGCTTGGAATAGCTATTTTTGTTCTCCGGGCCAGTTTTTGTTTAACTTATGTATGTTCTGTTCTAGAAAGCTGAGGTTGCTGGTCTCAAATCTATACGAGTGGTACTACTTATATAATTAACAGACTTATTGTGTTCTTGGAGATGATAAGTTTACCGTATCTACATTTTATTAAATAGATTATTCTAATAAAATTGTGGCTATGTACAAATAAATGAAAATTACCTTGTACATAGTTTTTACAAGCTCCATTGCTGTAAATGATTTTTCAAAATTATCATGGAACATTTTAAGAATTTGCTCTTCTCGAGTATTTCTGTGAGAGATGTATTGTAGAATTTTAGCTTCAGCATCATGGATTACTGGGCCATGTCCTGAATTAGAATTATAAAAATGATTTCAACCAGATAAAAAGTATTAAGCGTAAGTGAAGTTAATTCATTCTACTTAAAAATAATTCATATTATATATTGAAAAAGAATACTAAATACACAACAAATAATAATTATTTGTAAAACTATATATATTTCAGAGATTTAAAATTTATGTACAATGCAAAAAAGTTAGACAATTATATTAATATCTATTAAAATGTTATTGTGTACATTAAGATATAAAATAAAAATATAGCAATAAAAGCAGTAACCACAACAGTCATGACAGGTAATATTTATAGAGTGTTCACTATTTTCCAGGCACTGCTCTAAATGCTTGAGATACATTATTCTTACAAGAATCCCATGAGGTAGGTGCAGTTATTATCCCTCTGTTATAGCAGAAACTGAGGCACAGAGACGGTGAAAAACTTGCCTGCGGTCACGCACTTAAGACAGAGTGGAGGTGGGATTCCGACCCAGAAGTTTTTAACCACTCTATGCTCTTCACCACCATTTACACTCAGTTATAAAAGATTAAAAAGGGGAATGTAAAAGTAGCTTCATGTAAGTGACCATTTTTAATAGTCACAAGAACCACAGTACAACTTCAAGAATCTTATGTATAGGCTAGTAATTCAGAAATGCTGACAACTCAGATAAAGTTATATTGAAATTTGCTTGCTCTTTATGATAGCGCAAATTAATCTATTACACAAGTCTGCCAGAGGGCTGTTTAAAATATCTGAGGATGAAATAGCCAGAAGCTGGCTAAAGTATTATCACATAAAGAGCATGGGCTTTGGTTAGAATATTGACTATCATTTACTAGCTGTGTGGCCACGAAAGTCTGAATCTCTGAGCTTTGTTTCTTGAGGACACTGCTACCTACTTCACTGGGTTTCTGTGAGGACAGCAGCTAGCTGTAAAGGTCCCTGCAGGTCTCTGATGGATAGTAGGCTTTAATATATGGTAGCTATGGCTACAGAACGTAATTTACATATAAGCTCCTGCTGTGCTAATAAGCCAGTTCACTGGATTCATTAAAGCTCACTTCCTAAGAACCTTTACTAGGCAGACTCTCATTAGCTTTGCTTGAATGTGAGTGCATCAAATGTCTATTTTCTTCACTTTAAAAATAGCTGTCAGCTTCCATTCCTTTTATGTCATAATATTAACCCAGATGCCCAGATCCACTGTGTGTTGCCCACCTCCTCAGAAGCAGAAACTCATGAGAGAATATGAAGGTATTGAAGACATTATATTTACAGATCTTTCCATGGCTCTCTGGTGAGGAACAAGTTAGAAAGACTTAAAAAATGAAGCAACTTAGTCACTTTTTCCTTCTGGGGTATTCTGTCTTTTTTAGTTTTCAGGATGGAGATGTGATTCATATTGTGGAGAAGTGATGGCTGAGGTACTAACAACACGTTTCTTTTTTGGAGAATGGAAATAAATATACAATTTTACGGTTGAAATGGAAGCTGTTAATATTTCAAGTGTAAGTTAAAAAACAAAAACTCAGAGGTCAAGTGTAACCCAAGGTTACATGGATAAAATGTGGTCTATGACAGAATTCAAGTTAACAAAGTTTAAGAAAGCTCATGGAATGAAAAAATTTTTTTTGTTTCAATATAAGTTCATTTCCCTTGTTTAACAGTTCTATTAATAGCTGTTTAAATCTTAAAAAATAACCCTCATAGCTTTAATTGCATGGCTAGAAAAGACTTAGGGGTATAATTTCAAGAAGCAGTTTATATGTCTCTTTTCAAGGCCCCAAACACAAAGACAAACCAAAATGAGCCTTCCTTATTATTTGACACAAATGGTTTTCTAGATTTAAGAAACTACCCACCTGGATATATAACATCAGCTTTGATTTTCAATAACTCTTTTAGGGACTTCATATAATCAGAGAGGTCTTCGAATACAGTTGTTCCTTCTCCTAGGATGCAGTCTCCAGAAAAGAGAGCATTTTCCTCTTTTAAAAGCAGAGCCATATGATCATCAGTGTGGCCGGGTGTGTATATAACTCTGGTTGAAATAAGAAATAGTAACAGTCAAGAACTCATCCTTAGAAGGAATATGAGAAACAAATCATTCTCTATCCTTATCTCTGGACAAGACACAAATGACGTCAGTGAGTTAAAAAGAGCATTTTTCTCTTGAAAATTATCCTCAGAAAATTCTCTCCTTTAATGAAATCAAATTCCTTACTCTGAAGCGCAAATTTAATACTTTCCCCCTTATTTTATAAGTAATAGGTAGGTACTGATTACAACAAATTTGGAAAATGAAAAAGGAAGGTACTTAAAGGAGATAAAAACCACTGATCTTTCCACTACTTAGAGACAGTGTTTTTATTATTTATGAACATAATCTTTTTTCAATTTTCTTTGCATATCAGGAGGTACATTTTACAATATATTTTTTGGCAAGATTTGGAGAAAAAAGCACTTTCATATGTTGCTAGTGGGAGAGCAAAATGGTACAGCTCATATGGAGGGGAATTTGGCATTTTCTAGCAAAATGACATATACATCAACCCTTTGACCCATCAATCCCATTGCTAGAAATTTACCCCCAAAATATACCCTCCCGAATACAAAAAATATGTACAAGTTATTCATTACATTATTTGTAATAAATCATTAGAAACAACCCAGATACTGACCCATAGGGCACTACAGATAAATTATGGCAGGTATATCCACACAATGAAATACTATGCAGCCATCAAAAGAATGAAGATCTCTGAACTGATATGCGGTAATTTGCAGAATATACTGTCAAGTGATAAAAAGCAAAGTGTCAAAGAGTGTTCATTGTATGCTCTTTTGTATAAGAAAGATGAGGAAATAGAAACATGTATGTACATTTTCCTTATTTTTGCAAAAAGAAAGTAAGAAAGGATAAATAAAAAACTTATGACTACAGCTGCCTATAGGGATAGGCAGGTGGGGTTAGAGAATAGAGGAAGCAAAATTTCCCTAATTAGAACTTTTTAAACTAGTTTTAACCTAAAATTTAAAAAAAATTTCAATTAGTTGACATTTGATATTATTTTATATTAGTATCAGGTATACAACATAATGGTGAGATATGTTTTAACTTTTAAGCTATGTAAATATTTTATATATACTAAACATAAAATTAAATAAAAGGAAAAGAAAATCTTAATGTAGAATACCAAAAGAAGTAAATCTTACTGTGTACTGGATAGATAACATAGTCAGAGTAAAAAAAAATCAATTCAAATAGGTTTTAAATATAATACTAAGACTGCACATCCTTAATAGACTATATCTTAAGATCAAAAGAATCGCAAAGATATCCTGAGCTTTACTTAATAGTTTTATTGCTGGCAGTGTTATGGGTTACTGTGTTTCTGAAATTATTTTGTTTATTGTATGTTAGTACAAACAAGTAAATAAACTGATGTCAAGAAGGAAGTTTTTCACTGTGGGATAAGGAAAACATAGATATGGAATCAGGAAATTCGAGTTTTGGGTTGTTTCTTATTTGAACTGAGGAATCATGAATTCATTATTTCATTGTTTTTCTAGCTATGTCTATAAAAAGGCCCAAAAGCGATGATACTCCGGAAGTAATGAATACACCTCATACTCAGTTGTTTGTTTCTAAATACCATTTCCCACTCAAAGAAACCAGGGTTTCTTACAGACATGGAGGGTTCTAGATCTGGGGCAGGGAAAGTCAATTGTGATATTGTGACATCCTGTGATAGATAGCAAGGAGGTGCTGAAAGATTGAGGGGGCTATGTCAAAGGACAAGGAAGCACTGAATAAAAAAAAAAATTAGAAGTCTGTAGTGATACTCAGAAAAGGAGGAGGGAATTTCTTCTTTAAGAAGAATATGAACAAATAAAGAAAAAACAAAATGAAAGTGAATAAAGAATAAAGAAATGATAGAATTAGAAAAATCACAATTAAGCCACCTTCAATATATTAACTGATGAAGGCAAGCATCATTAATAGATGCTAAAACCACTGGATAAAAGATTGTGGAGAAGCAGGACATTCACAGAAATAAGCTTAAAGTCATTTGCATTAAACTTAACTCACAGGACCATATTGCTAAGCAACAATGAAGCTCCATTACAAATATGAGTAATTCTCATTAGCAACAAAAGGGTCAGTATTTTCACAGAATAACACTACCAAACATTTAAAGCCAGGCAATCATACTACTACTTAACCTATCTTAGAGCATAGAAAAAGAAGGAAAACTTATGAAACTTGAACCTGACAAACCGAATCTCACTAATGAATATTGTTATAAAAAATCTTAATGAAAATAGAACCCAAAAGCATATTTAAAAATAACAACATCATGACCAAATAAAGTTTATTCAAAAAAATGCAAGGGTGTTTCAAGATTTTAAGATCCCTGAAAAGCATAATAAAGCTCTGGAGAACACTAAGATCATCTCCTAGGCACTGCAAAGACGAAATTCAACTCTTAAATAACAGTATTTAAGAAAACAGAAATGACTATAACTAGAAGAGTTTCTCCTTTGCCAAAAAAAATCAATCAAATCCTCAATATTAAATACTGAAACTGCAAAGCCTTTTTAAAGAATCTGCTAAAAATGTAACATAGGTATAATGACATGATACTAGTGTAATGATGCAATTATTTTTGAATAGCATTAAGAACTGACATTAAGAACTTTTATGGTTCCCAAGTATATGCTTTACATATTGCAAATAATTACTATATTATAGTTGCATCAATGGTAAAGTATTAGAGATGTTAAAAATCATCTCTTGTCTGATTAAACCTGCTGCAACCAGTTAATAAAAGTATTCAATGTTACATGAAAATAATTTCAGGAGGTATATTTCTAGCAACTATAAAAATCTGTGGGTGTGTATCTTATGAACAATCACATATAGAATGGATTTACAAACTGAATCTCAATCTTTTTTTTTTTTTTAATCTACAAAAACTCATTTGGAGAACCATAGTTTTTCAGAGTCTGCAAACTGGCTTATCCAATAAATGTGCTTGTGAGGCCTTTTATTATTCCCCTCCCATTCCCCATTCGAGAACTCAGTAATGGTTTTCTTTGATATTTTCTAGGCTGGAGGCAATAAGATTTCTTAAATTAGGGGATCAGAAGTTCCAATTCTTCAGTCACCTGGGTGGCTAATGCTTTAATTTGCATAAAAACCGTGTTAAAATTCACTTCACATAGGCAGGAGGAGAAAAGGAAATGACGTCACAGATGCTTTACTAAAGATCAGGGAACTGCAGCTGTGGCCTTCCCATTCATCAGGTAGAGCATTTATCTGGTTCTGCCACTTCTGTGACAGGGTAGACTTAATAAAAATGACTCTCTTAGAAAATTTAGAACAGTCAACAAAAGCTGTCAGAGTAACTGAGAAATTAAACTTAGTTCACTAGAAAATTCCTGAGGGTTAAACCCAGAATCCTTACTGAAAAAATTTGCTAACTTTGTATTTTTTTACTAATGGGTTCTTGGTGGGCATTACGTCTATCTCTATTGTATTTTTTTTTCTTTTCAAAATTGGCAAGTAGACAAGATCAAGTGGATATCAACTATATGGGGTCTTAAGTAGATTTTAATCTGCTTGTGGAACTTTTGCTTAACAATGAGTCTTCTTGTTATTATTTAAAACAACTGGGTTTTACTGACTTTATTAGAATGGAAATTTGAAACTGTGGTCAACAGTAAATTATATGTTTTACTTAGATTTTAGCATAATTAGGATTTATATTTTGAAAAAAGATGATTTACTAAGTAATTTTTAAAAAGTGTGGTTTTTTTAATTGTTGTTGTAGTTTTCTCTCAAAATCTTAAAAGATTCCCATACTTAATTTATCTTAATCAGAATGCAGTAAAACAAAAATTACATGGAATTCAGATCATCTTGAGATCTTTGGCATCAATTCATTCCATGAAATAAGACAGTCAACTGAGGGGGTGGGGGAGTGACAGGAAGCAAGAACACGGGTGGCTTTGGGGCACTGACGTTGTTTCTAGATCTGCATGCTACTCATACAGTTTGTTCAGTTTGTAACAATTCACCCCATTGCACACTGATGATATCTACACTTTTCTGTTTGTATACTTTAATAAAAAGCTCAAAAATATGTGGTCTGTTCATGGCAGATAGATGGGTGGTAGTTAACATCCAAGAGCTGAATTGTCTTAATCTGCAAATTAGGCATAGATCTAACATCCATGATTCTGTAATAACTGATAAACCAGTACTGATACCCAACCTGTGAGACAGAAGACTCAATGAACCACCTCCTGTCTCTACCCCTTTCATTAAATTAGCCTGGGGCTAGTGTGTGATGGGGGAAAGTCGGTATTGTCAAGAATACAGTGTGAAAACATAGTGATGTATTGTTTGCTTTCCTTTGTATCATGAACAAATTATATGAGATACCATCACATTTTCAACAAGAGCATTTCAAGAAAATTGCCCAGAAATTAGTTGGTTTATAAATTAAGTTTTGTAAGTCTCCAGTATAGTGGAAAAAAGGAGACATTAGTTTGAAAGGGGGTGATGGATACCCCTTACTTCACTTCCTCTTTCTCATTCATCTGCTCATTTACTTGCTTCTTTGTAGATATTTACTACATGTAGGATATATATCACTGCCATCTATGTGCCAGGGACTGAGGATATGAATACAAATCTGGTTTCTGCCTGTGTCGGCGAATGGCTAGCTTATCATCAAACCTATTTCCTCTTTTTCCTGGGGATGAACTTAAAATACATTTCCCAGCCTCTTCACAGTCAGGGGTGGCACATGACTGAAATGACAGCCACTGAAACAGAAGGTCTGGTCCATGAAAACCTCCTATGTAAGATCTCTACCATGCTCTTTCTCCACCGACTGGGTTGATTTCAGTGAGCATGGCAACCTTGAAAGCCAAGTACTGAGGACAGTGGAATCCACAAGATGGAAGGATCCTGAAACATTATTTGCAGGAGGGCCACCTGCTAATCAGGAACCTATTTTGGCCTTTATGTGACTGAGAAGTAAACCTGTGTCATGTTTGAGCCATTACACATTTCTGGATTGGTATGCTACAGCAACTGACATGAACTAATATTGTAAACCTAAGGAGTTATTTACCTTGAAGGAAATACCTACTTACACACCAAAACACTGTAATACAATTTAATAAGTGCTATAATAAAATAAAAAATATATGAAAGAGGAGGGAGCAGTTAATTCTGCCCAGAAGGGGTTGTTGATGTAAGTAACATGTGAACTGAGGTTTGAAGAACAGATAGATACGAATTTATCAGGGGGATAAGGAGGAACGAAGGGTGATGCCTAGTACAGGGGACGGTATGAGCAGAGGCATGAACAGACATAATGTGCTCAGGAGTATTTAGATATGGCTAATTGTGTTTGTGACGGGAGTGGCAGGAGCTGAGACCAGAAAAATGGTTAGGGAGGAGGAAAAAATGGCATCGATGATAGAGGCTCCATTTATCCCTCTGGTTACCAAATCAAGGCTGTGATGGAAACAAGGAGCAGCAGCAAGGAAAATCGCCTGGGATGAACAAGCCATACAACTAGGGAGGAATCCAAGAAAGCACCTGCAACGGCAGAAGGTAGGACAGGGCGAGGACGTGGGGCTGCCCAGTCCCAGCCTCTGAGTGAGACGGAGGCAGTGGCTGCAGCAGTGGCAGAAGCTTCTTAAAGGAGCCGCGTCGCGAGCGGATTTTCGCAGTGATGGACCTGCTCGCTCTGAGCACCAGTGCCCATTTGGCTGCACGCAGGGGGCACCAGGGACTTACAGGGAGATATTGTCCGAGTGAGGGCCGAGGTGAGACTCACTCAGTACAGAAGTACGGTGGTCTCCATTGTTTCCTCTTGAGCCCTGCCCTTCTCCCAGTGCGCCCGGCACAGCACCGCCATAGCTGTGACGTCATCAAACTGGATCACAGAGGTCGCTCCGCCCAGAGGATTCCCTGAAACCCTGACTATGCCAACTCGGGTTTTACTCAAGCTACATCCAGGTGTAACCTCAGCGAGTCAGGTGCTCCTTGCTGAGACTCACACTGGTGGAGGCAGCTGGCCTCGATTTCTGGTGTGGCCTTTTGCAGCAACCAAAAGCAGAGCATCCGTGGATTGCTTGCTGAATCTTAACAAGTGGCACCAGAGAGGAAGAGGCTTGGGCTAAATTTGGCCTGCAGCTGAACCCTCTTAGGACTGTGCCACTGGACACCTACTTCACAAATCCACATGAGAATGGGATATTTAGGAGCTT